GTACCCGCGGCAGATTGGGCAACGCCGGGGCGACCGCTGCCGTCGGCGGCCGTCCGCACATCTCTCTCACCGCACGGCGGAACTCGGGTAGCCGGAGGGTGTAGACGACGGGATTCAGCAGGGGCGATAGAGTCAGGCACAGGAGAATAGCGGCCTTTTCTACGATCACTACCGCCATGGAAGGCCCCTCCTTCTGTGCGTTACCTTCCGCCAAGGTAACAGTCATAAAAATGGCAGAGATTACTGAAGTAGTAAAGACTACAACATGGGGAAACATGGTTTTGAAGCCTTTGGTCTTGTAGAATTTCACCGGTCGCTGTTCGTCCCTTTGTTGTTGCCGCTTCGCTTCCTTCAAAACGACGTAGTACAAACCTATGATAACCGGCAGGGATAAAATCTGTAAAACTATGCCGATGCTCCTAAGAACAAAGGCAGGCTGATATGTCCTTGTTTTCATCAGACATGAGACGTTACCTTCTGCTTTTCTAACAAGGGCAATCGGAACTGCGCCGCAGATGATAGAGAACGCGTCAACAAGACCCAGTACTATGGCCAAACGCTTTGTAGTGACTTTGGTTTCATACTTAAGTGGGTGACATATGTAGTAGTACAAGTCTATAGCCATTAGAAGATAGGTAGCGTATGTGGACAGTAATGCTGTAGCGCTAACTATTCGTGTGTCCGAGCAGATAATACCGTAAAATCGGCCGTTGCTTTGCAGAATTAGATTGATGTATCTCGGGATCTGTGCCGTTGTGAAGAGGATGTCGTTGAAGGCTAGGTGGCACCGTAAGTAGTGGCGAGGCTGTTGGAGATATTCCTTCCTGCACACGAGGAGGATGAGAAGAGAGTTAGCGGCTACTATCAGGATAAAACTGATGCCGAGGTACGCTGCCTGGAGACCAGGAGAGGCTGGCCCAAGAGAGACCGTAACTTCGGCCTGGGAGCCGTCTTGCTGATCGCCCATCTTGCGTCTAGAAGATGCCAGGACCCTGAACACCTTGCCTGGTTGATAGTGCACCAGCTCTAGAAAAATATTTCTGACAGCCACCGAATAAAAGCGTAAGAAACAACTGATTGTGTGGTTCGCATGCACGCTGGTCTCTGTGTAAATCTGTTTTTGGTGCCGTTTCTGCTGAAAATTAGCTTCAATTCATGGTCGTAACAATACATAGTAAGATTGCTTGTTCCGTACAGCGGAGACACCAAAAAAGCGTACGAAACAGATCAGAGATTGTGTGGTTCGCATGCACACTGTTTTATGCGTCAGTAAATGTTTTGGAGGCTTTTCTCTGCTGAAAATTACCTCCAATTCATGGTCCTAACAATACGTAATCAGATCGTTTGTTCCGTACAGTGGTGGAGACGTGGGCATGACTGAACACTACTACGATGATTTGAAACGAAAGTTGCGGAGTTTAGGGTAACACTTTGTAAAGGGAAACGATTGTACTTCAGGACATACAATCTATCAGTTGTTTGTTTCCATCGTTATATATGTGTCCATTCTTGTTTTCGTGAGCACTTGGCTATTTACATTTAAGAATTGTCGGCCTTGATGGGAGCATTTTGGCTCTTGAAAATTAGCTTCTATTGTTGACAGTAACAATTGGTCATGATGTGCCGTTCCGCGGGGGCGTTTTTAATTTTCATTGCTACGCCGGCGTTTGTCTGCTATATGTCATTCCTTATCGTAGCCTAAACAAACACGCCGATCCTCATCATCATTCTGTTACAACTTCTAAAAGTTTCAGTATTGCAGAACCCTTTATGAGGGGAACTGAATTGCGCTGTCCCTTACAAGTACAGCTATTTTAACACTAAAATCACAAACCACTAAGATCGCTAATCACATGTAAATTTTATGGATGACGTCCGCGCGCGCATTGATTTTGGCCTGTTCCTAGAAAAAAACCCAAGAAATTCCGCTTCCTGTAACTATGACCAAAGAGTCACGACAGCGCCGTTAGATTGACGTGAAACCTGTAACGCGAAAACAGGACAGGACGATAACTGCTATTCCACCTGATTTATTGTTGTTTTGATGATGAATAAAAGACTTCTTGCTTGTTACACTGTCACCTCATTCAATTTGTGTCCTAACATTTGTCGTCTCTTAGTATATTTCTAATCTAGGCATCTTGTTTTTTAGGGCCCTTCTTGTTTTTTTCGCCCTCTCGCATTAGATTTAGGGTTTCCAAAGGACGTTATCCATAAA